CGGGACGAACAATACTAAGGAGGGGGCAGTGTTGCGTCAGCGAGGTCACGTGACTAATGTCACACCACTTCTCTCGAACCTTCGGGAATAGTCGGGAGATTACTAGATATAGGGTAGTCTGGTATATATATAAGAGGGTGACAACGTGACGAATCAATGTGTGTGTAGGTAGTGAGTAATTGATGTGCAGTGAGAAAGTATTGTAGAAGTTAACGTTCGTTATAGCGTTTGTTTTAGCGCGAATGTTGAAATCAAGTGTATTGTGAAGTTATATTCAGGAAGAATAAACCAGTTTTATTAAGTAAGGACTTGTGTCGCTAAAGTTTCGTCGGAACGAAGTTACGGAAAGTTAATTAACAAACGGAGACGTAACAATATATTGTTGTTGTTTGTTATTAAGAACATAACTACACAAATAACCTATAATCGATAAAGATAACCCTGGTTTAAATAATCTCCTTTCAACTAAAACTTTTCTAATTGGCATAATGACAATAAACCATCAATCAGTATTTTCAGCTATTATATCTATAAACGAGTTTGTCTTAGCTGTTTATTTCACAACAGTATAAATTTACTTTATCGTTTCCCCCCAGTAGCACAGCGATATGTCTCCGGACTTACAATGCTAGAAACCGAGTTTCGATACCCGTGGTGGGCAGAGCACAGATAGCCCATTGTGTAGCTTTGTACATAAATTCAAACAAACAAACTTTATCGTTTATATGAGCTTATTCAACTGCTAATTTATTTTCAATATTTTCAAGGCTTTATGTTTTCAAACATCAGCTACTCCAGTGGTTCAGCGCTAAGTATGAAGGCTTATAACGCTAAAAACCGGGTTTAGATACTTGTGATGGACACAGCACAGATAGCCCATTGTGTAACCCTGTGTTTAATAACAAACAAACAAACAAACTCAAATATATTCGTATTTTACTTGATTTCTGCAAATATATTTCAGTACACCTTGTTTTTAGATTTTGGAATAAGTATGTTTTGAGGTGACTGACTCATGTAAATAAAATGTTTTTTCGTTATTGTTATGTTTGTTTGTTTGTGGAATTTCGCACAAAATTACTAGAGGGTTATCTGTGCTAACCATCCATAATTTAGAAATGATAGATTAAAGGGAAACAGCTAGTCAACATTATTCACCACCAGCTCTTGGGCTTCTCTAACTCCACAGTGGGATTAACCGTCACCTCATAATATCCTCATGGCTGAAAGGTTGAATATATTCAATGATAGGATTTGGGCCCATTACTCGCAGCAATTTGTGAGTCGAGCTCCCTAACTATAAGGCTATGTCAGACTGTTTTTCGTCATAACCACCATTTTGGTCTTCATTAGTACACGTGATTGTGAGTTTATGCGAGTATGATTTGTTTTAGCTCAAAGCCACACAATGGGCTATCTGAACTTTGTCTACGGCGGAGAATCGAACCTGGATTTTAGCGTTAGAAAGTCCGTAAATTTACCGCTGACCCACCAGGGAACATTAGTATGCCTGAAGTAGTTTTAAAAAAATTGTTGATTTTTTGTACCTATCACTCAAGCTATGAAAGTCAGTATGATTTTATTAATTTTTGCCAAAAACATTATCTTAAAATTTGTGATATTATTTATTTTGTTTTTCCTTATTTTTCTTATTGCTATAACAACATCGTATAAAATGTTGTTGACGTGTAACTTGTTAACGTAGATGTGACCTAGGGACGAGAATAGAAAACATTGCAGATCATTCCCAGCTGAGGAAAGGGTGAGGTTATCGATTGTTTATTGGAATAGAAGTCCCCAACGTTGCTCATTCCTTAAATTACTAAATTTTCAAACATTTACTTGATAACGTCAAACATGTCAACATCTGGAGATTTTGGGAATCCTTTACGAAAATTCAAGCTCGTATTTCTAGGAGAACAAAGTGGTAAGGTGCTTTTTTTTTTTTTTTTAACATTCATCCTCCAATAAATCCTGACAATGTGTTTTGTGCGTTACGGTATTTTATTTAACGTTGAAAGCCAGTATTTTATTAAATTATTCTGTGATTTAAGAATTTCTCCTTAATATTTAGCATTATCCTTGCGAAATCGATTGAGTCTTAACTTTTTCAAGTAGAGGTGTTAATCAATGCGTAGGCCTAGAAGTATTTTTTTTTAGATTGTAAATTATAAGTTTAAATTTAATCTAAAAAACAATGTCACTGGCAGCAGTGATATATCGGGCCAGTTACTATTATCGTTATTAACAATTATAAGCAATCTTGATTTATCATTAAAAAGTATGACATGAAGAAAATGATTACAACCATGCATTTTTGTAGTCTTTGAGTTGATTATCAATAGCTAACATCGTGAAAGCCAGTAATTTGACTACTGTATATCTTATACTATAAGTTAAAGTTAGCTTCAAATAATGATTCAAGTGAAGTTGATCGAAGGGACTGTTAGAAATAATAATCATTAAAAAAAGAGAGTAACTGTAAAACTTACAAATGCACTGAAAAGTTAAATTAGTCAGTGGGCACATACCATTAGGTGGAATGTATAGTTCTTGAACAACAAGTTATCTAATTTCAAAGAATCTGTAGAGTTGGAATCCAATTAGAACATTTATAATGCATCCTTAAAATTGAGCAATTGAACATACAGATAGAATAATAGCTGCAAATTTGCAATTAATAATTATGCCTCTGTGTCTCAGCAGATACTTTTGGTATTCATTTTTGTGTTCCCTGTAGTTTATGTTGACTTCCCTCTGTTAATAAGTTTGATTTGAAGCAAAGTAAAAATTAATTTTATTCCATATTTTTTGCATATTTCACCACATATACAGAATTTGAGAATGTTATATGAAAATGATTATGGAGCCTCACCACACTGTTACAGTCCATGTCACCACATTCAACCATGTTATATCTGACAACCATGAATTTTGACAATAGTCCTGCAGTATAGTTACATTGCATAAGGCTCCACTGTAAGGATTTTATGTTTAAGGCACATCTCTCCTTCCTACAGGCTTTTCAAAATCTATCTCGTGTATAAGAACAACTGTTTCACAGTGGTCATTTCAACAGTGTAGTCACACAGAAATCCACAAGTGCTGTATCCAGCAGCTTGATTGATGTTCTTCATATGAAATAGCGTGAATAACCATTTCATTCTTCAGTTGTTTGAGATACACTGCTGTGCAAAAGACTTAGGGATTTAACATTTTTCTACTCTAATGCATAAGGAGAGAAAAACATTTTCTACAATAAAATACATCTTTATGGAAAAGAAAACCTTATTCAAATAATCAAATTTGTGCACATTATATCTTAATATAAACTAATAGCAAGTATGTCCACCCTTTTCCTTCAAAACCATTGAAGTTCTATTAGGGACATTTTAAAATAATTATTGTGATAAACTCCTGTGGAATGGTGTTCCACCATTTTTCCAAGACCTTCCAAAAATCATTTAAGTTGCTTGGATTGTTTTTTTTTCTTTGTCCAAATAGTCCCATACAGCTTCTATGATATTGAGATCTGGGCTTTAAGGTGGCTGTTCCATGTGTTGAAGGACTTCAGTTTGCTCTTTCTTTTGAAAATACACTGTAATTGTTCTAGACGAGTGTCTTGGATCATCATCTTGCTGCAAGATGAAGCTTGGACAAATATATCTTGCAACAGTGGGAATAGTATGGTGGGTTAAGATTTATTTGTACCTTACTGCACTCAATATACCATCAATTTTCCAACACTACCTAAGGACATTCACTCCCAAACATGAATTGAACCTCCTGTATGCTTAAATTGTTGACTTCATGCAAATAGAGTCAAAACACCTTTGACCATTGTTCTGTAATTCAATTTCTGTGTCCTTTAGTCTTGTTTCCCCCTTTTTTAACAGAGGTTTTCTTACTGCAATAGATCCTTTAATCCTTGATTTCCAAAGTGACCTTTGGACTGGGTGATGACATCTGAGCTTTTTGCTAGTTCTGTTGTCAAGTCAATGTTTGCCTTCTTTCTATTCCTTAAGGATGTTATCTTCAAGTATTTCTCATCCTTATTAGACAATGTTTTGGGTCTTCCAGTCCTGCATTTTTCAATTACAGATGATGTCTATCTGTACATGTTGATTATGCTTTGGATACTACATCTTGAAAATTGAGTGATGCAAGCCATTTTACTCAATATTTTTCCTTCTTTATGCAGAAATACAATTCTGTGTCAGTCTTCTATAAAATTTTAACCATTTTGTTTTAAGCTAACACCTAACAATGAGTCATCAATTAGATTTGATTTGTAGATGGGATGGATTAGGTCTTAAAACTCTTTGTATTGGCTGTTTGTGTATAGTTTACATGCTGTTGTTGTGATAAAAATTTTTTTGAAGATTCTGATTAATGTGATTTAAAGATGGTTGAATAACAAGCTTGGTTTCTTTTCACCAAAATTAATCTGTACTAATAACAGTTAAAGTTGTCTTAATAATAGAAAACACCAGTGGAAGCTTTGAGTAAATTGTTGTTGCTCATATCAAACATATATCATAATCTTTGAATGTTTCTAAGACTTTTGCACAGCAGTTTATGTGATGGTTGAAAGGGTGGTATGACTAGAAGCCTTATCTTGGTGAATCCTTATTCCATTGGCCCCATTTCCAGATGGAGATTCTTCTTTTTTATATTGTGTAACTATCTGTAACATGTGAATAGCTTTTGCCACTGATCTTTGTGTTTGTGGAGTCTCGCCTGTTATGAGATGCCTGTCTTCGTTTACTATGGCTAGGTTATAACTTGTTGCAGGTTTCTCTCTAGATGGTCCTAGTGTCCCAAGTTGATCCATATTCTCTTATTTTTCAATGCTGTTGAGTATAAGGGATATTTCCATCTTGGAACTTATAAATTCCCAATATGAACGCACCTAAATGATCTGAATTTATGAATATCTTGCATCAGAAAGAGATGTTACGTATCCTTCCCAAGAGTAATTCAAGTTTTGGTGGCATTCTGCTGCCTATAAAATTCCGAAAAATGCAAATTATAGTTCAGATACATGCTATTCAGTTGAACTTTATATCGGCTGTAATTTCATGCGACTTACTGATGTGCATATTCATAATTATTGCAACATAATGTACACAAGTTTTTGTAAAGGATATGTTATTGCAACCAACATAAGGTAATATTTTTTCCTTGATATATATTTTTTGAACATCTGTGCTATTAGCTTCTATAAGTGAAAGTGATCAATACTGTTGACTAGATTTTGTACATTTAATGAAGCTACCTGAAAATGATGGGCATATTGTGTCAGTATGGATTGTGCTTGATATTTGTAATTTAGTTATGGCATGTAATTTATAATTCTAACGTTATACATTTAAAGCAGAAATATATTCAAACAACCTTATCTTTAGCTTAATGTCCAAGAAAATTTTGGGGCAAAGCAAGCTTTAGAAGAATCTTTACACTAAATAGAATATAAAAATATAAAAGGAGCTTCTCAAGGTTTAGAGTTTTAAAGATAAAACAAACTTCATTATAGTTCTATCTAGTTTAGCAATTAGAATGTGGATGTTTTAACATAGGTATTTGTCACTATTCTTTGCTCTATGATCCAACAAATAATTTGGAATTTACTGTCAGTCGGTGTTATGAAACAATGTGTAGTAAAATTTAGTTATCTTAATATTCATTATACATTTCACCAAATAATATTGATCATTTGTTACTATATTACAGTAATAAGCTATTTCCTCTGTCACAGTTGTTATAAGTTTGATATTTCCTTTTTTCCAAACATCTCACATTTTAATTTTAATATTATGATCATTATATGTCAAGTTTGTTGACATTGTATAATGTTAGTGATATTTTTCTGCTGTAGATTTCAGATGATTTGTTAAACTGTGAGATTTAGGTACATAATCAAGTGTTAAAAGTAAGACCTTGCGACTTAATTGTTAGAGGAAATTATATCACAAAATAATGAGTTATAAAAGTGTTATTTTGGGTTTTATGCATAAAGTGATAATAAGTGTTGTGTTTGAATTATGAGTAAATGCACACCATCATCATACAGAAACAGTTAACTTTCCAGTATATTCATGGTTTAATTTCTAGTGATTTTTCATGTGAACATTTCCTGCTTATGAAGGGTGAGATTTTTGACTTTACACGAGGTTGAGAACCAAAGTTCTAGTGATAACTAAGGATTGAAGGAAGGGAATTGATGAGAAGTTTTCATTCTCAAACAGTCATTTCTGGATGCTTAGCTGTGCTGCTAGTTATATTTGTTAAAAAAAAAGGTGTATTAGAAAATATTAGGGAACTTCTAGAGAATAAAATTTCCATCACTGCTGAAAGTTATTCTGAAATTTTGAATAAGCTTAATAAAAAATTAATTACATTAGTAGAAGCTGTAACTGTTGTTTTTTAAAATTTCTCTTAAATTGTGAGTAATGACTGATTTAAAATGCTATTCATGTTTAAAAACAGTTGAGGAAGATATGGAAAGTTATAAATTTGTTGGTTTGACTTGTTAGAAGTAAATTATAATCTGTTTTAAGGGGTAACTTAGATAAGTATTTAAATAATAAGTATAGTGTACCAACATTGAAATATAATGTTAGTTTTTCTAGTCTGCTCTCTGTTTCTTGTTACTTGGTGAGTATTGGGGTGATTTCAGCTTGCATTACTCAAGTCTGCAACCATCTTAGACTTTGTGAAAGTGAGACATGATAGGTATTTTTTTATATTTACATTAATAGTGACAGAATTTAAGCATGATTGCTTAAAGTATCTTAATTTCAAAGCCAGTAATAACAAATATATATATATATATATATATATAGTTTTTCTGACACGATGCAGCTTATTAGTTTGTACTGTTGTGTAATACAACTACAATAAGCAGTATAGGTGTATGTTTTACATTCCATTAAGAATGTTTTGGAAAGCAATATTTTATAGAGAAGCATTATTACAGAATTGAGAATGTTCACAGTTTTTTGATAAGGGAGTAAGGGTTAGTGTATATGTTTTAAGTAGTTGAAACATGTATGGTATCATGTGGTAGATCTTCTAGTAAAATATCAGATAGTTAATATATTCTGTATAAGAGGATGCCCTTCAATGTTTGATCATTAGTAAGTAAACTAATCTGATGTTTCAACTGAAAATAAAATAAACTAAAAATGTGAATGCAAATTGTAGATTTTAATCAGTCACCTTTTTTGGGTTAAAAATTGTTCTTTGGAGAATTTAAAAATAATACATTAATTTTTTTTTCAATGTTTTATTATAGACATAAATAATTTTATTAATGTTGTGTTTTATTTACAGTTGGTAAAACATCACTGATTACAAGATTTATGTATGACAGTTTTGACAATACTTATCAGGTGAGTTTGGCTATTCATGTATTATCATCTTCATTAAGAAGACATGCATTACATCAGTTTCAACTTAAAAGGAGAGGTTCATAAGTTATCAATATTTTTACTTGAGAACATGTTCTGATGAACATTACTTATTTGAGTGGTATATGGAGGCCTAATTTAGTTTTTAGTCAGTTGAATATGTGCTGTAAAAAACCCAAAACAATGTAAATACATGGAAGCTTTAAATAAATTATGTGATTCATTTGAAATCAGTATAAGACACTACATTCAAAAGAGAACATTGCATTCCAAGTCATGTACATACAGACAGAAATGTGTTTCATTCATTTCAGTTTTAAATTTTACTTTTCCGTATATAGTTATTTGTGCAATAATGAAATGAGCCAGATAGAAGAGTGAACTAAATTGGTTTAGTATATTGTAAGGTGAGTGGCAAAAACTGAGATGGCTGTACCAGTAATTTATATCTATGAAAATAATTTAGTAAGAAAATGTCGGTAGTAGTAATAGTACTAGTTAGCTTGGGAACTGTTTGTGATAGCACATGTATAATATTGGAACTTATTTAGAGTAATTTATATTGAAAAGCTAAAAAAAGGTGTTGCTAAATATCTGAAAGTTGATATAAGTTTTCAGTAAATGTCTTACTGTTATTTTTTATTTTTTCAGGCTACAATAGGAATAGACTTTCTTTCCAAAACAATGTATTTAGAGGATCGAACGGTAGGTGGGATTAGGTTTTTTTTTGTTAGCATATAGTTAGAACAGTATATGTATATTAACAAGTCTTTTTTATAGCAAATTCAATTATCACTAATTGTAAAGGAAATATTTCATCAATTGCACTGGAGAAAGGTTATAAAACAATATATGTATTTCAGACTTAAAATGTTTTGACCGTTAAGTCTATAAGCCAGCTGGCCTGATAATAATAATAAATAAATAAAACAAAAAAAATCATATCACATTTTAAAACAATTCTGATATGATATCTTACCTCCTCTTACAGAATAGCTTTTCCCAACTTGTACTACCCTACTCTCTGTCTGCTCAAATTTTCACTCGCCACCAGCCTTGACACTCCCACCTACCCTTATGTGTTTTCACATGAAGCATCTGTGTGATAGTATGCAAATGAGCATGCAACAATCTTCCACCAATTGGAGCACAACACAGTTCCTAGCACAGCTGACTACCTCTGTGCAGCTTAGCCCAAAATCTCTTCTCGATTGGCACTCGTAGTGTTCAGGTGTGTTTTTTCATTCATGCTTTCTTTTAAGGAATTTAAATCATTTCCTTGTATTTTTTTATGAGAACTTGGGTTTTTTCTTTGTCTGCTACACTTGTGTTCTGAAATTTTAGTTAGTACACATTTACATTGTGTCTTTTAGTATAATATGTGATTCTTTGGAGCTCCCTGTTTGAACATTTCTACTTCCATTCTTTGTTGAAATGGATTCTGAATTTACAACTACTACCACTGCTGTTCCTCCTACAGTTAGCCTTACTTCAAAAAATCAAAAATTGGACTTCCATGGCTTCAGGTCCACAGTTGTTAGTGGGAGATGTTATGGCCTTATTCTGCTGGGAGTTGGATATCTTCAGGTGAGCTCCTGAATTTGCCTGTGAATTTTCCTCTCATGCTTTGTTCAGGAGTACAGGATATGGAATTTGACAGCCTGTTTCATCCCCCTGTGCCACATGGTCACATTTCATTTCAGTGGCTGGGCCTCCTCCTTTCCTCAAGTTACTAAACCAGGTTTGTTATGTTTTGTCTTTGTCTTCCTTTTTTCTTTTAAGTGAGAAACCTTTGTGCCAATATCTTGTCCCCTCCTCACCAGATACTGGAGTTCATGCCATTAGGTTTGTGGAGTCAGATATCTTGGCCCTCACATCATATGGAAGACCATGCTGTGTCTTACCACAGGTCTTGTTTTTCCTTTTTGGGACTCCCTGCAGTTGTGTTCTCTTCTGCCTCTGTGGGGTTCTGATCCTACTACTTTGTTGATGTTTTCCCAACATTAATTTTCCTGTATCTGCCTCATGTTATCCACCCTCCTTCATACCCTTACTGTGATTGCCTCTGAAGGGTCAGGATGCCCTTTTGTCCCATGTGCGTTTATCCTCAGTCTACTTACATGACTTGTGCATGGCTCCTTTTTTTAAGGCAAGATGGTTTTTGGGGGTCTTCCTCACTCATTGGAGACCAGAGTTTAGTCTGCAAGTTTGCACATTTACATTTTCTCATTGGCTTCCCATTTGTCTCCACCTCATCCTGCACATGTTCTTGTGTCTTGTCCCCCTCCTTCCTCTCCTTTTATAGTGCCTGTTCCATCGTTTTGCTTGTCAATGGCTTCAGCACCCTCAGCATTCCCGGTGACTACATGGTGGAGGCCAGATTTTTGGGCTTTTCCCACTATTTGGGAGTCCTTCACCACAAACTCTTTGGTTCTGCTGGTTCTTTCTGAAGGGCTTGTTCTTTGTTTTAGTTCTCCTCCTCCCCTTCCCTTCATCCCATATCCTCCCCACTCCTCAGGATTCCTTTTTCACCAGGGCATTATAGAACAGGGAGATCCAGGTCAGCCAGGTTTCTATTCTTATGTTTTCCTTCTTCAGTGGGCTTTACAAGATCAGTGGAACCTCATTCAGGATCCCTTGGATGTCCCTACCCATCTCCCTCCTTCCTTTCATGTGGTCTTTGTCTGGTGGTTAGACAGGGATAACTCCACAGTGAGTGTTTCTCTTCCTTCTCCTCATCCTGGGGTGCACTTCTTCATGTATGCTTCTCTTTCATGTTGGGGTGTGTATTTGGACATGCAAGAGCTTTTGGGCTGTTGGTCTATCAACAAGCTATCTCTGCATATTAGTTTTCGGAATTGCTTACTTTTGGTTATGTTCCATTCAAACAACAAAATGATTGTCTCCTTCTTCACTCAACAAGGGGGCATCAAATTTGCTTGTTGGCATATTGTATACCTGATGCCCTGAATCTGGTTGCAACTCATTTATCTTGCCCTAGATGTTTGGCCAGTTGTGTTCCCATTGGGGTACTCTGGAGCTGAATGCATTTTCCACCCAACTGTATTCCAAGCTTCCTAGATTTTGGTCCCTAGTTCCACATCCTTTGGCTCTAGCTGCTAATGCTCTTAGTCAGGATTGGGGGTTCCCTTCCCTTTATGCCTATTCCTTATCTGTCTTCTTCCTCGTGTCCTCTCCATTATCCTTGCCACTCTTTGTTGTGTCCTCTTGGCAGCACCACGTTGCCCAGTGCATCCGTAGTTTCCACTTTTGTGCCTGCTTTTATTGACACCTCCTCTGCCACTCTCACCCACCCTTCTCAGGCTTTATACATCCTTCCATTCCAACACTCCATCTTCATGTGTGGCTTTTCTCTGGTCCCTTGCCAGATGGTCTGGACTTTCCCCTTGGGTTGCTTCCCTGATTTCCATTACATTTGCCCTTCCTTCATGTCAGTTTACATACCACCACTGTTGGTTTTCTCATCATGGTTTTCCTCTATCTCGTCCTACTTTTCCACACCTGCCTTCCTTTCTTACTTTGCTTTTTGACAAGGGACTTTTGGTATCCACCTTCACTCCCATTTCCCACCTTTATCATCTTTCCGAGTTGGATTACCTCTTATGTTCTGTCCTCTGCTGTTATGTTGCTTGTACTGCTCCCTTCTGTGGTTACCTTTCCTCCTTTATTCATTCATTGACACACTTTTTTTTCCAGTGATATTTCTCCTATTACCCTTATGAGTTGGATTTGCCAACTTATTTGACTGGATTATTCTTCCCTATCTATCACCTTACCATGAACCTGGCTGCTCAGTTCCTTCATCCATTAGATGATATGGTTCATGGCAGCTTGTGGACCATTCTTCCGTATGTTTATTTCACATTATCTTCATCAATTGGCCATTTTCTGCTGTACAAATTACATTATACTTCCCGTCACAATCTTGAGCTCCTCAGTTTCTCTATGAGTGGGTAGATGCTTTTTTTTCTACTTCTTTACAAGGGCCTTTCTTGCATATATGAGTCCTGCTCAGTGGTGACCAGATATACTTGTTCTTATACGTGCACTGTATGACCATTCTGGTCAATAATGCTGACTGTAGAGATGGGGTGTTCTGCAAGACCCCTTGTAGGTTTTCCTCATGGTGTTTTGCATCATAAATATGTTCACCCCCGACTGTACACTCATGGACTAACATGAGTAAAGTAGAAAGGAATTGCTGCCCATCCCTGTTGCTACTTCTTCTGACTGAATCAGGAACAGTCTGCTTATCAACATAAAGTTTCACAGTCACCGGTTACACTGTCTCTGGTGCTGCATTTCTCCAGACTCTCCAGTGCATCCCCCCCTTTTTTTCATGGAATATGGGAGATATTACCACTTCCCAGCTCCTAGTCACTGGGGTGGTGGACCATGGAGGCTTCCTCCTGAGTGTGCTCAGTTCCACTCAGTTGAGAGTAGGGTGGTGGTGTTCTGCCTGTATAGATGGTGTATAGACACTCCTCCTATTGTGAACTTGATTTACTATTCCAGATGCCAACTGGTTATGGACTGGACAATTTCCACTAAAATGCATCTCATCCCTCCAGCTGAGCATTCTCCTTCCTAGAGTCACCCAGCTCTTGCATTGTTGGAAATGCTAAGGACTTCATGGAATATTGATTGCAACCAGTTATGTAGGTTAGGCTGGAAACACTGAATTAATTATAAGTCAATATTAGTGAAAGATTAGACTTGTAACTGTAATCATGGTGTAGATATATAAGTAGAAAACATCCTGAAAATTTTCAGTTGTGCAAGTTTCTTATGGGTAACATTCATGAAAATAATATCAGTATTATGCAACACTTGAATAAAATTTGTTTTTCTCATGTTCTCCATCCACCAAACCCTCATCTCCCCAACAAGTCAGACTTGATATGTAGTGGTGATTGGATGCATAACTAAGAAGTAAAATTTCACTGATCAACTTAACACTTTAAGGACAGGAACAAGTTAAAAATATAATCCATGAAAACTGGAATGCCAGATGAGGACATCCAACAAGGTTTATTCACTTTGCCAATAATGAGCAAATTTTGATAAACCTTAAGAAAGAATGAGTAGTTGTGATATGACGACTGTTAAGCACTGGACTCACCAATAACTAAAGATAAATCTTGACATACATGTATCATGCAACTAATTACACCACTTAAAATTGTACATATATTTTTCTTACTTCTTGGTGTTTCAACAAACAAAAAATTAAAAATTAGGATTACAAAAATACTAGAGAGTACTTTTATGAATACTTGAGATAGATTGAGTACCACAGTTTTAGAACTATAATATCTGCAAAAAGGCCTTTATTTTGATCTTAACTAAACTGGTGCTGTACAGTATCACCAATTGTTCAGGTGTAACTCATGGCTGTGGGTCCAGAGAATGTATTTTTGGAAATCTAAGATAACCTCACAAAATTAACAATCATAAGGTGCTTTGATTATAAATAGGTTAACACATATCTCTAATTAAACTTATTTTTTTGCCTCTTATCAAGCAGTATATATATACTGCCTGATAAAGGCATTTGTCTGAAACATAGCAAAAAATAGTTTTTATTTAGATGTGTTACCTTATTTATTTATTAGAATTGTTTCTTCCTACATCTTTTACACTATTTACTCAAGATATTGCATTTATGAGAGTTAAATCAGTGATAACCTCAATGATTATTATTTTATGAATAGTATAATGTTATTACTTCTTTTCTCAAGCAAAATTAATGATGTTCTTTCAAGGTCCATGTATTGGTTAGGGTTACATACTACCTTACATATTCATGTATGAATGTCATCATGACTACATATTGGTATTCAAGAGGTTTCAAACTAAGTTGAGCATCTTAAACAGTTAAATTGGAATACTGGAAACAGGTTTTATATATCAGTCATTTGAATACTTGAAAACACAGTTGTAATAAAAATTGTTTAGGGATTGCTGTCTGCTTTTTGGAAAATAAATTTATAATGTTTAAGGTCAAGCTATGAAGATTGTTGTCCAATAGTTAAGTTTGACTACGAGCAAATTAGAAGTAAAATTCATAGATATGTGATGAGGAACATCTACTTTGGAAATGAAATCTTCAGCATAACATGTTCCTAGGTTGTGTCTGCTATGTGATCATTGGCCAATCAAGTGATACGTCCACTTCCAATCCCTATCTTGTTTGGTTCCTTTTATCAAGTTCAGTAACCAGTTCTACATAGCTTTTTTTATTTAGTGATGAATGTTTTTACTAATACTTGTATATTTGAATATTATATGGTGGAATATTGTATATTTGAATTCAACAGGTGAGACTTCAGCTGTGGGATACTGCTGGTCAAGAAAGGTTTCGAAGTTTGATACCTAGCTACATTAGAGATTCTACAGTTGCTGTTGTAGTATATGACATCACAAGTAAGTGAAAGTTTTTGCATGTTTTGAAACATTTTTTTAAATATTAAAGAATATATTTAGATTACATATGTATGTAGTTCTGTTAAAAAGTTGAATGCCAAGGGTGCTAAAAATTGTTTGAGTTTTTTTACTACTAAAAACTAGTCCACATGTGATTAAGTATAATATTAGTATAGTTCTTAACAGTTATAGTTCAACACTGGGCATTTTAATCTTGGACATCTTCTGTTGTGAACAACACTAACTCTTTTCTTACTAGCATAATTTCTACCTTCCACAGAACTAAACTAAGTATTATGTAATTATATATGTGCTTGTGAACTTGATAACTAAATACCTTAATTTAATAAAGCTGACCAGATTACATGTTGCACTAGCTTCCAGTGTTTATTAATGATATTTACTAGACAAGATCAGAGTGTATTTATTGAAAATAAATTGATATTTCAGATAATTGGTTATTTCTAAATTGGAGTCGTATTGTCCCAGATTAGAAAGTCCAAGGCTGAAACCACCATGTCAAAAACACACTTCACATTTATGACTCTGGGGCTTTATGACCAATAATCATTCCTGTTATTCTGTTATGAGTAGCCACATCATAGATGGCAGGTGCTACTGACTGGTTGCACTTTTTTCTTTTATCCATTTTACACAGTATTTTATGCTGGGTGTTGTAAAAAGTAAAAACATAAAAATATTCTATATGATGCAATACACTTACCTTACTGGTAATGAATAGTGTAAAAACAAGTCTGTTGATATGGAAGATACTGACTGATTGTTCTCTCTATGGTCAGCAGTTCTAAATCAGGGATAGCCATGCCCAAACCTGTCTGTTTTAGTCCATGTGTTGCAAAAGTTGCCATTTAGGTTTTATATAAAATAGTGATACATAATTTGTTTTCAAAGAAATATTTAATTTGATATGTTAGTTAATTTGTTAAAAAAAAGAACAGCCCATCAATTTACCCTATTTGGGAAATTATTATTCATATGAACTGTATTCCAGACACATAAATCTTACTAACTTGAAATTATTGTATAGATGCTAACTCCTTTCACCAAACCTCTAAGTGGATTGATGATGTTAGAACGGAGAGAGGAAATGATGTGATTATCATGTTAGTTGGAAATAAGACAGATTTGGCTGACAAAAGGTAAGAATTTTGAGAATTTGTTGGTCATTCAGTTGCTGTTTCCTGAACAATATAAATGTTTTATTTTTCCTTTTTTGCTGTAAAATAACTTCAGTAATAATCTTACAAGTAGCATAATCCGGATGTAGTAAAACAAGTAAAAGTAAATGTACCTTACATTTAATCTTCTTTTCTTAGAAAATGTATTTTAGACTTTTTTAACAAATGATTTCTAATTTAATCATAGAAAATTATAATAGTTTGTTAAGTGGGTAAGGTCCCTGACAAATCTGGAAAAGCATACGTAAGTTAGGTTGATGGATAGGGCATGACCTATTGAGCATTTTGCTACAGTTGGAATGGTTGAAAGTTGTATGAGTGAAGAGTCGCATGGTGCCAAAATGTAGCTGAATTATGGTAAATTGGTTATTAATACCAAAACAATTTTTATAAAGTTTAAATTTGCAGGCTTGTGTAATCAATGTTTTCAACCAAAAAAATTTTCTCAACCAAGCAACTGCTTGTTGGTGTTTTGCCTTTCTCAAAACCTCTGAAATATGTACATGATATTTGTTAATTATGCTTTTTCGTTTTGTATGCTTTTACTTACTTGTTTGAGGTTGTTTACCCTGTTTTTGGTTTGACTATTGAAACAAAATCCCTCTATATTGTCATTTGCAAAAACTTCTTTAAATGCTTTGAGACCTTCTTTGGGCTTGATATAGACTTTTGGGCAACAAGCTTTGCTAAAAAATGAGCATACCTTGCCTCCATCATCATCTTTCTCTGGTTGTTGTTGTAGTTTTCCTTGCCTGATTGATTAGTTTTGTGATTTCAGTCCTAATTTTGCCTTTACTGTAGAGATGAAACCTTTTTAGATATCTTTTGCATAGCTCTTCAAACATCCATTCTGGTCCCTTCTCTAATTTGGCAGCTTCTCCAAGATTGAACATCTCTTTGGTATCTTTGCAAAATGATGCTATATACTTTTATTCACACATTTCTCCTTTCTTTGGCTCCCTAGCCCAACCCATGGGGAAAGTATGAGGCACCATATCTCTACCAGGAACCTTAGCTTCACAATAAAATTAGGAAGGTTGCCACATGACTGGAGATAAGCAACTACTTGCATTGGCAACTCAATTATTGCTGTCCTTAAGCCAAGACTTAAGGATTCCCATTCTTCTCACAAAATGAGAATTATGCACTAAACTTTTATCTTGGGTTTACTTGTGAATAAATCTCAAGATCTCTATGCAATGAGTGTTAGCTAGAATGGGGTAATGAGTGACTGAATGATTTTGATAGCATATTGTGTTTTTACTTTGGAGAATAATCTGCTTAAGGTTAGGAAGATCTTTCTTGATGCATAGCAGCACTCTTTGTTATCTTTGGCAGGTAGATGATCAAAGTACACCGTCTGTGGCTGGAGATTCTTCCATTTCTCAGTATAAATCTATGATGCCGTGCCAGCTAATGCCTATTTTTCCACATGGCTCATCTTTTTTTTCTGTAATACATTGGTTACAACTTTATCTTGAAGTCTATGACAACAAGAACCTCATCAGATGACCTATATGCTACACATATTTTATTGTATTTGAGATGTCTTCAGTTGCAAGTTGTTGGTTCACTATTCTAAGATGATGTACTGTGAAGAGCTTTACTTTCATGCAGCAATTATTCAGTACTCCTACTATAGTTAAGTCACTGTTGGAGAAGCCTGGCAGAATATTTTTTAGCCTTATTAATACACCATTGCCAATATTATGATCACTCTTTGATAATAAGCCATGGAAAAGATCTGCAAGCAGTATTGTTGAAGAGTTTGGGGTTCTGGTCA